CCCTCTTTCCCCTTTTTTTTTGGTTGCTGGTGCTGCCCGGGTCATGCCGGCCGGGCACCCGGGCTTGTATCCGGGCACATGTTGGGTGCCCCTTGGGTGCCTGGAAAAACACCCTTGCTTAAATAAAAAAGAAGATTACGATCCCGGCAAGTACGTAGGCTGTCTGGTTCTGTTGTTTGCATGCTCTGTTCAGATCAATTCAAGCTTACTAATAAGTTTTTTTTGGGGGGAGGGGGGCCTCCCTCCAGTACTCTCGAAATGCACAAAAGGCAAAAATCATGGCGTTGTATTTTTCTGTGTTCTAGGGGAAGATTCACTCTGGTTTTGCACATTTTGAGAGTAGTGGGAGCGAGGCCGGATGTCTCCAAACTCTGACATGTACAGAAACTCAAAAAAGGAACCAGTTGGTACACGCCATACTTGCAAGCGGACCCCGTCCGGGCGGTTCCGCACGTGCGGCAGACCGCCGGACCGGACCCGCGCAGCGCACGAATGTGCGCCCGACGACCAGTTACGCCCCACCCCCAAAGCCCCGTCTGGTCCGGTCCAGGGGGAGGGTGCCGCACGCGGCAAAGCGGACCGGACCGGACGTTAGTCCGGTCTGTCTGCTTGCAAGTATGGTACGCACCCACAAGCTGTTGAAATACGGAACCAGAGTTCGGATCTGGAGGAACGGAAGTCCTGAACTTCCTGGGGCTAGTCGGTTACAATAATTTGCATGATAATAATATTTTAAGGGTGTAGCCGCTTTCAAATAGAGACCAGAGTTGGAATCCAAAGAAACTTTGGACGGAAAAAGAAAGAGAGAGGGAAAAAAAGGGCGAAAAAAAAGAAACCAGAAAGGTGCTCTCTACCGTCTTCGTCCCAATATAGAACACACGGACAATATTGCTGTATCTAGTCTGAAAGTTGCACCAAATGCAGCAATAACGACTGGGCGTTCTATTCGGCTGAAGACAGTAGGGTTGAGTAGCATTAGCAAGACTTTGGACTGAACAACTTGGGACCGGAAGGTGACACACTGCACTTGTGGCTATGTTGTAAAATGTACATGTGCGTCCATATGCAGTGAACCAGGGCTTGGTTGGCAACTTGGGCCTAGCTGGTGTTCTTGTGTGTGTGTGTGTGTGTGTGTGTGTGTGTGTGTGTGTGAGAGAGAGAGAGAGAGAGAGAGAGAGAGAGAGAGAGAGAGAGAGAGAGAGANGAGAGAGAGAGAGAGAGAGAGAGAGAGAGAGAGAGAGAGAGAGAGAGAGAGAGAGAGAGAGAGAGAGAGAGACCACTGCCGCATTGTTGTTGTTATAGTTGTCGCCGGCGTCCTCCATTTGTAGTTCCAGGAGAGTGTCGAGAGAGAGAGAGGTCCATTGTTGTTGTTCTAGTGTCGTCGCCTTTTGTCGTCTGCGTTCAACCCCCAGGTCCTTCCAAATGTCTGAATGAGTATGTTGTTACTATTGTGTGCGTTAAGGATTAGCAAGCAGGCAGAATGCACTAAGGGTTGAAGAGGTGGTGCAGAGGCGGAAAGCAGGCACCATAAAGGAGGAGCCACTTGTGGTAGAATCAGATGATGAGGAGGAAGGAGGTGACCCAGTCTCAGCAAGGGGGGAGGACTGGAAAGGGTGGAGAGGATTTGGCGGGAAAGGAAGATATTTATCAGGAATACATGATTCCAAAGGGTACAGAAAAAAGCAACCCATCGAGCAACCTGCGGGAGGAAGCATACAATTTGGAGTCTTTTAAGGAACATTGTCTGCTTTCAAGTAGTCAGTCCTTCGGGCCTCACTACTGGTGAACCCTCTCCTTTTTTTAATGTATATATTATATACCCCTGAAATTATATTTTAATATCATGTGTTCCATAGGACCGCCGATCATGTATGCAACTGATCGGAACGGATACTACGCTTTATCTTTTGCGAAAAAAAGGAAGGAGTTTGTGATTGCTGTGAGGCCAAGAAAGGTATTTGTGTGAACTCTTTTGCAAAAAAAAAAGGTGTTTTTTTGTGAACTCGTTTGCAAAAAAAGGAAGGAGTTTGTGATTGCTGTGAGGATTAGGGAAAAAAAAAAAAAAAAAGCTGTGAGCAATCTGAGGGCCATGTTAACACACACACAGAGGGAGAGAGAGAGAGAGAGAGAGAGAGAGAGAGAGAGAGAGAGAGAGAGAGAGAGAGAGAGAGAGAGAGAGAGAGAAATTGAGTTGTGTGCTTGTTGTGAATTATGACCTTATCATAGGACCGGATGCAACGCTGTGGTTTCATTGCTCTGTTGTCTTGAAAACAAACCTTGGCCGCAGTCCCACTGACAAAGAGGATTGTATCGAGTGTTTGATTCTGGTTGTGTTTTAGGATTGTATGAAGTGCTTGATTCTGGATGTGTTTTACGGAGAGATGCAGAAAAGCAAAACGATCTCGGTTTCTGCACCTGCCGACGAACACGTCCGTTGAATCCAATCCCTGATCCTAGTGTAGCCGTGCCCGTGACATCGTCGTCTTCACCGCTGCCAAAATGGATTCTGTTCTGAGATGTGAATGGACTCAGAATATGCTCTTCTTTGTTTCTTGTTTGGGCATCTCTTGCTTGTGTCGCATGCGCATTGTTATTTGGAGAAAAAAAAAGAAAAAAAAGGGAATGATGTGCTGTACGTATGTGAGCAATAGGTGCACAGATTTTTTTGAAGAGTTGTCACACTGCAGTGACTCCACGAAAACGCGGCGATTGGTCCTTTTTTTTCATGGTTAACATGGGGCCTCAGATAATCTCGGAGTGCCTGGCGGAAAAAGTCTGGTGGCACCGAAACTAGATTACTCGCGGCGATTGTTCTTTTTTTCTTTTTTTTTCTCTTTATTATAACTAAGCTATATTCTTCTCCCAATTTCAAACTTTCACTACCTACCTGCCACTACCCCTAAGCTTATACAGGGGACCCCTGCAAGCAACCCACCTCTCACAATATAGGGGATGATGCATGTTGCCCCACGCCCTAATGTGTGGAGGTCAGGGAGTAAGGGGGGGGGCACTGGTGGGGGAAGGCAGCAAATGCAAAGACCAAGCATTTTGCCCCGGTAGCTGCACCTCCCATGTACTGCTCCCAGCCCCCAATCGCGTGACAGCAGTGTCTGTGGTCAGCTCTCTCCCACACAGCGCACAACCTGGTGCCCCCGAATACAACGTACGGTCGTTATAGCTGTATCTGTATTGGAGGCATGTTACAGTCTAAATACAGCTATAATGACCGTACGTTGTATACGGGGGAAGAAGGTAGCACACGGTCCCAGCCTCACCGAAACTTTGCGGGGCTCAGGAGTCGGGACTGCGGGACCACAATTGCTGGCAGCACCAGCCAAAAAAGGAAAGAAGGGTTCTGCTTGCGGTAGGGAAAAGCTTTGCGTGCAGTGTGGCGCCTCCAGGCCCTGGTGTATTGGTTGTTCAACCGCCGGGTGCACTTGCGGTTAAACCAACAGTATTTCCTAGGGTCGTGGCCGTTAACGCGCCACGATTTTAGGAAACGTACAGGCTACTACAGGAGTGCCCAAATTCATCCAAGTAGAAACGTTTCTACTCTATTTTTTTTTCGGCCGATAGCTGGGCCAAGTACTGGTGGTTTAACAGGGACCCTCACTTTTCAGCCCCAGGGAAAAGCTTTGCGTGCAGTGTGGCGCCTCCAGCACTGAAAAGTGGATGTGCAGATAATATTTTTCAGCTTTTTTTTGTTTGTTGTTGCCCTGTTTTATTTTTGGTCAAGGTCTGCATGTGCTGAGTTTGGTGTTTGTTCGAGGCTTGGAGATGACTGTTTTGGGCAGCCCTGAAAATCCTGTAAACTGAAAAGAGCGAATTTTGAATGAAAACGCACTTTTGCCTTGGGGTGTAAGGTCCTTTCGATCGATGTTCTTTTTTTTTTTTTTTCTTGCTGTTGGTTTATTTTGGTGTCCACTCTATGGACTGGTGCCAAGTCTGGCTTTTAAAAGGTGTGGGAGGTGTGGGAGGTGTGGGATGTTTGTTATAATGACCCTGAAAAAAACCTACCCCGAAAATTTAGGGCTCTGTTAACCGCTTCTCGCCAGTTGTGTGCATGATAATTTAGTGGTGGTTGAAACCGCGACTACCTCCCAGCTTCGTTTGCCTTAGACCGCCAGTACATGGCCCTAGCCTTGCAGAAAGTTTTTGTCGCCACAAGCACAACTCGGAGGGGCCGTGCTGCATGGGGTGCCGTTGAAAAAAAGAATTGTGGCCTCCGAAGTGGTGTGGGTTCCATGCTGACACCTGCGGGCCTATGTCTGGTGTACTGGTGCTTTAAGCTCTATTTTGCCTGCCAAGGGAGGACCGGATCATTGGGCCTGGGCCTGGTGGTGGCAGCCATAACTTCAGCATTTTTGTCAACACAAATCTCTTGTTGTTTCTTTTTTTTTCTTGTACAAACGCACATGATGACGATGAAAGGTGGAACACCAATCCGCCTTGGAAATGAGAATGCATATGACAGATGCACTTGAAAACTCGTTCCATCGCTGATGGTGGTTTTTGGCCTGCTGTCCGCGTGGATGGTTGGCGCTGGCACGTGCGAATTCGTGTGTGCAAATGAAAATGACGACGGTGTAGGTATACCCCTCCGATAAGGGGTTGTGGATTGCAGTTGTATGGGGGACAGTGGGCTGGGAGGGACACAGGCGGTAACCTATGGTCTCTGAGTGGCCTTGTCGTATACGCGCCGTGGTTTAAACCACCTGCACTTGGCCCATTCATCGGCTGCGGGCGCTTGTCGTATACGCGCCGTTGCGATTACGGGCCGGCTGCCGGAGCAAAATTCCTGGCGCGACCAGCCAAAATTCCTGTCGTGTATGCGGCGTGAGAAGGGAATACCGGGCCAAGGGATTCAGGGACCACTTCTTTGGGTCCATTCTTAGGAATTTTGTGCGGACCCGGGACAGAGTGTGGCGGTACACGCAGGTAAGTTAGTAGGGGGTTAGAAGTTTGTAGGTACAAGTTAGGACTCAAAATACTTTGGGTGCTTTTTGTTTGTCCTCTTCATCATACATGGCTCCGGAGGTTGGTGCGGTATGGGTAAGGGAGAAAGTTGCGGCACAATATAGGGAGAAGAAGGTGGAGGATTAAGCTTTCTCCAATCACAAGCTATGTTGTTTTGGACTTCTCTTCGGCTGAGTCACGTCGTCTTCGTCGCGTCGCGTCAACTTTCGTCGGGGTCGTCGTGGGTTTGTCTCGGTCGAAAGGTCGCTTTGACTTTGTGTCAATTTGACTGCGTGGTTCTTTACCTCTTGTAAAGCTGGGGATTGATACCTCGTGTGGTGGTCAAGTCCTAGATGCAGTACGCATCGCCCTTGTGGAGCTGGCGACTGGGCGCGGGACTAGGGGAGTCGAATCCCGGACCGGAAAGTTTATGCCATTGCTTCTTCAAGTCAACCGAGCGGGAGTGGAGGTGGAGAAGGCCCTAGGAGAAATCCCCAGATTTGCTATAGCTGTAAACTGTCGGGCCACTATGCAAGAGACTGTGGAGCGTGCTGGAAAGAAAGGTACAAGGGAAAAACTGGTGACACCGGAGGGGTGGGGGGAAAACTGGTGACACCGGAGGGGAGGGGACATCTCGATATACATGGGGGAGATCGACATCTCAGATAAGAAGACGTTGGGAACCTTCTAAACGATCACCATTGGCTGATTCGAAGTACCACGGTCAACAAAGTGAGGAAAGGGATAGTGTGAAAGATTTGGTGCGGTTGTTGAAGAAAGAACGGGAGAATATCAAAAAGGAGGAGAAAAGGTTAAAAAAGGAAGAAAGACGTAGAAGAGAGCAGCAGGAGAATGACGAAAGATTGGCCAAGATTGTGGACCTTCAGTTTTCAAAAAGGTGGGGTGGAGCAATGGAGCATATGGGAGTGGACGGTTCGCCAGAGCACAAGCGAAGACATAGGCGATATCGAAAAGCCTCAAGGAGGGAAAAGCACCATCGGAAGACGAAGATTGTGCTGTCTGATACTGATGAGGAAGTATCAGAAATCAGCCAGCGCACACGCGCGCTACATCTGACGGACAACCGAAAGCGAGTTTCCACTACCACGGAGGAAGAGGACGCACTATCTCAGTCGAGTCCTAACATTGCTCCGCTAAAGATGCATCGAGCACGGGAATTGCCTCCGAAGTCTTCACGGATGAAGTCGGCGAAGAAGATGAAAACTACGCTGCAGCCTGCTACAATGAAGAAGCTTCGGGAAAAGAACGAACCGATGGTGGAACTGCCGCCGAAGTCTTCACAAATGAAGTCGGCGAAGAAGATGGAAACTACGCTGCAGCCGGTTACGAGGAAGAAGCTCCGGGAAAAGAACGAACCGACGGTGAAAGGGGCGCTGTAGCAAGATGTGGGGCAGGATCAACGCTACAGTTTGTGAAGGACACTGTGGAACACTTGGACCGTCTCGATTACCGCGTGATACAGAGAATGTGCAAGATGGAGGACGTACCCAACGTCCGCAAAGGGCAGGGGATATTGGCTCTGGCAGAGAAGAAAGCGCAAAGTTGCCTACGAAGGCACGGAGGAGGGTATACCAGAGCAACGAGACTTCTGAAAGCGACAACGCGGGGTCATCTGATGACTCGCCATGCAACGAGAACAAGAAGAATGCATGAAGTGGTAAGTCGAATTCAGAGCTTTGGGAATGCTGCATACTCTCTCATACAGACGTAAATCTCCCTTACCTCTCCAACGGAATGTGGAAAGCTTGTTTCGTTGGACTCTTGTTGCCCTCACTTTACGAGGATACATTCCTTGGTTAGAGAAGTTTATCGGATATTGGTTGGACGTACTATCTAAGGACCCTAAGGCTTTTGATGATCCGAACTGTTGTGTGTACCTTAGGAGTCTCTCCCTGGTGTCGCGCTACCTACGTAGGAAAAACTGAAAGATTGTTAAATACCAGATCATGGTCTGGTCAGAGCATAGGGGAAATAGTAGGCACGTGATTTCGTCGTCGTCGCATTTCCATAGGTGGCTAGAACAATTTGGCATCGAGAATTATGTCCTGATTCCTGTTTTGCCGGGTTCTGCCGATGAACTGGTTAGTTTTGAGGACCTGTTGATTCGTACATGGTCGTCAAGCCTTAATATCCGAGGGAAGGAAAAGGGAAGAAGGAGGAGGAAGCAATCTCGAAAGACACGGAAAGGGAAGAAAGAGAGAAGTAGGGGTAAAATGAGATCCTGAGGAAATAAATTACGAAGAAACTTCAAGAAAGGGTGGGAAAAAAAAAAA